CCCCCCCCCTTCCTGCCTGTCAGAGCCACCCCGGGCCGGCCGCAGCCCAGAGACAGCCGGCGCTGTGAGGCCGCACGCTGTTGCTACGCTGCAAACAAACAGCAGCTTGGCGGCTGTAAAATAACACACCAGCATGGCAGAGAACACCCAGGCCACCCAGCCGAACATGCATTCCTTCCCATAATTACAGCTCCCTTTCTACTTACTTTCAGTGTTAAAAGGGTGATAAAGCCCTAAAACACACACAAGAAGGCTAGATGGTAGGCTGAAGCCAAGCAGAACAGAGTGCTGGCACAGGAAATTCCTAGTCTTTTCAACACTCGTGCTCATATTGATAACACATTTTTTTGCTTTTCCAACTTTATTTTAGACCCTTTTCATATTTGAGAAACAAAAACGACAGGTCCGTATTTAGTGTTGGTGTCAGGATCTGCATGAAGATCCACCCTCTATAATTCCTGCATTCACTCTGGATAGACTCTGGAATCTGTAAGGCCACGATCTGGATGTCTAGCACTAACAAAATTAAAGAGTCTGGTTGCTCACACAGCGAGGGCTGTAAAATCTAAAATAATCCCATTTTCCCTCCTGATTTACTAACCAAAAGCGCTTTAGTCTGTAATGGTTGTTTAAAATCATAAGTAGACATTTATGCTCTGGCACTTCACGTTCCTTAAACTTGTTTGTAGGGCTGCGATGTCTGGTGATGAAATACGCGAGGTCTCTTTATAATTGCTGTGGCTTATCGCAGTAGCTATACCTCGGAAGATAAAGGTATGAAACAGAAGACTAAATATAAACCATATTAGTCTCCTTGACTTGGTGTAAAAAGGCTGCTTTATAGCGAATGATGTCTCAGTTAGCTGTGGGGGTCAATGGCTGTCTGTAAGAACACAAACTGTTTCCCCTCTACTCTAAATATTTAGATTTTCTTTCGCTGGTGGAACGTTGACAAGCCGGCGTTCGGCTGCTGGAAGCAGAACCGGCTGGGAGGTAGGGGGGAGCAGGAAGTCGGGGTGCTCTTCGGGAAGCAGGTCAGCACTCTGACACGATAAGTGGTC